ATCAACTGCTTTGCTCGACAGCACAGAGCAGATGCTGGAGATGCAGTTCAAGTGTTCCAAGGTGGGTGAGATGAAGTATTACCTGGGGATGCATGTGGAGAGAGATGTGGAAAAGGGTATGCTGAGGTTGCACCAGAGGAAGTACTGTGAGGGGCTGGCTGAGAAGTATGGGCTGCAAGAAGGGGGAAAGCCAGCAACACCACTACCTTCAAGGTTTACTGTGGAGCCATGTGCTGATGAGGAGGTAGTGGGTGAGAGTGACAGGAAGCTGTTTCATTCGATGGTTGGGTCGCTGAATTATGCAGCAAATCATACACGGCCTGACATTGCATTTGCTACATCACGGTTGGTTAGTGTGGTCTCACGCCCTAGTCATGAGCAGCTAGAAGCGGCCAAGAGGTTGGTCCGCTATGTGAGTGCTATGGCATTAGTGGGATTGGAGTACAGTGGAGTGAGGCAGCGGTTGCACAGAGGTGCTGCAGATGTGAAGAGTGGAGAGATGCTCTTGAGTTGCTATACTGACGCTAGCTTCAACTCAGTGAAAGCGGATGGCACCAGCATTGGGGGTTATGTGTGCTTGCTAGGAGGTGGTGCTGTGAGCTTTCGTAGCAAGAAGCAGAATGAGGTGGGATTTTCCTCATGTGAGACTGAGTACATGGCCTTACACCATGGGGCCAAGGAAGTGGTGTGGCTGAGGCGTTTGTTGGAGGAGTTGGGAGTTGGTCAGAAGGAGCCGACAGTTGTGTTTTGTGACAATGAGTCTGCAGTGAAGCTCGCCAAGAATGCTTGTCTGCATGGGCTGACAAAACACATAAGGCCTAAGTGGCATTGGGTGAGGAGACTCCTTGATAAGGAGGTGCGGCTGGAGATAGTGAAGACCCATCAGCAAGCAGCAGATATTTTCACTAAGCGTCTGGCAGAGGCCGATCATTGGAAGAGCATGAAGCTTGCTGGGATGAGTGTGCATTGAGTATGCATGCTTGAGATGTTGGTATGGTGGATGATGGTTGGCAGCCAGAGGGGGAGATTGTTGTGTGATGTCATCATATGCTATCACATTCTGTGTGCCTCCCATCCCTTGTTTCAATTCGCATGTATGGTTTGACTGTGTGTGAAAGCATTTATGTGGTGTGTGTTCTGGAGTTTCGGAATATATTTTGTGTTATTCTGTCTGAGCAGATATTTGTGATGATAGATCTTGATAAGATCTTTCCGACGCAACAAGAATCGCTTCAATCGGAGTAAGAACGCGGAAGCTATGAAGATTCAAAGTTCATGAGCTTGCGTTACAATTGCGGCGGTTACAAAGTGAAGTTGTGGGGTGACTCTATATGGAGTTGGGACCTTTGGGGTTGGGGAAATTTTTCCCTCTACAGTAACAGCTGCAAATTGGTTGGGAACAACCAAGCTAGATTGGCAAGGGTGGCCAACTTGAAAGGGATTGGTTGGGAAGGGACAAATGTCAAAGTTGGGGTTCCTATAGGGGGGGAATCTTTGTGCTTATGGAGTTTCCTTGGTTGGGGACTCTCTTAGGACCTTCCCTCTCATCCCTCTCTTCTATCCCAACCTTTCTCTTGCTCCTCTAATTCCTTGTGAGATTCTTGAACTTTGATTGAACTTTTGAGATTGAGTTAAGTTCTCCTCCTACAGCTTACCCCCAGTGCGTCGAAAGACATAGCGTCGCGAATACTCCATCAATCGACGTGATTCAAATTGAGAACGGTATCTAAGATTACAAGCTACAACATATCAGATTTTCACGACATTCCAACGGCTAGTTTTTTGTCGACGTTGTTTCTTGTGAAGACGACTTCTCTGTCCAGAATTTCGGATTTATATTTTGAGTAATTCTAGCTCCTAAGTTCACCTAGACTCCGTCCTTAATCCTAACAGAGGTGTCCAGCATGAACAGGCCAGACACCGGGTCTCGGGGGAATGTGGTGAGGGAGGCACCAGTGGCGGCCTCGGTATAGACAGCGTACCGCTCGTGCCTAGGGAACGTAGTGGTGACGCCTAGGTCCTGGAGGCAGCCGACACCAACTAGGTTCCTAGAGAACGAGGGGATGTGCAGGCCTGTAAGAGAGCCCAAAGGAACTGCCGGACAGGGAAGGGTAGTGGAGCTACGGGCGACTACAGGACCTGAGGAAGGGTCTGCAAGGGAAATTGCGGCGTGAGCGTAGTGGAGTCTCGAAAGAAGCACCGGGAAGCACCGGAGTCCAGGGTAAAAGAGAGCACGGCAGTAGGGGCAGGGGCCGAAGCAACGAGGGAGGAGCCAAGGCTAAACAAAGCAGGGCATCCTACGCCTGACGCAGCAGGGGAGTCTGATCTAGGCACACTTACGCTAGGCAACAGGGGGTAATAGGAAGCAGTCACACTAGAGTCATCGACATACAGCACATGCAAAGGAGAACTAATCTCATGCATGTCCATATCAAAGATCTGAACACCGCGGCGGGGCAAACTGTGCCAGCCGGGGAGGTCGGGCGACGGGCCGAAGCGGAGACCAAACAGGTCGTTCAGGCGACTGAAACAACGAGTGGGGGTGTGACCGATCTTACCGCACACGAGGTCGCGGCGAGGACCGGTCTGGAGCTGGTACTGGCAGCGCCCGTCACTCGAACCACCACCCGACGTCACGCTGCATGCACGACCACTGCGACCGCTGCCACCACAAGCGCCAGACCACCCGGGCGGGAGACGACCAACCCGTCGCTGCTGCTGCTGCTGCTACTGCTGTGGCGGCTGCTGGTGCTGGTGTTGCTGCTGCTGTGACTGCTGCTGCTGGTCCAACGGCGGTGCCTGCTGCTGCTGCTGGGGCTGCAGGTCGGCGGCACTAGCCCCAGCCCCCTCGTCTGTACTACCAGCGGGCGACCCGGTTCCACCACCTCCTCTGCCCCCTCCTCCACTACCGCCGCCACGCCCAGCCTTGGGGCGGCGACCCTTCCCCCGGCAAAACTGTGCTGCGGCGGCTGTCTAAGCAACAGCAGCAGAGCCGTCACAGAAAGTATAGTGAGCGGGGGCACAACTCTGAAAGATAGTGACTGGCACAGTACCGCTAGACTGGGCGATAGAGCGCTGGCGGGTCTCTATGACAGACAGGGTGTCGACAAAGTCAGTGAGGGTGAGGTCAGCGGGGTGGAGACTAAGGAAGTGATCGCGGGCAGTAGCAAGGCGGTCAGGGAGGCGAGTGGCAAGCAGGTAGAGGGTAGAGCAGATATGTTTGACAAGCTTATGATGGGGTGCATTTTTGAGAGCACTCACTTTTCTGGGGTTGCATTTTACATAACACCCTGCTCGTTTTATGCAGCAAAAAATAGTATTTCGTCGTGCATTTCCAGGTCCGCTGGGTTGAAAACAACGAGCAGGATGAAAAATGCAATGTCAACTACCATTAGCAACCAAAAAGCGGGCAGAAGAATCAACACAAGTTGCAGTGCAAAATCGAAACGTTAGGGGAGGTCGAGACTTGGGAGGATTTCGACCGTCGAAGTCGCAGATTCTGTTGTGATTTGACGGTCAAATTCCTCCCGAGCGAAATCCTCAGGTCTTGATGATCGCAGGTGCGGCACAAAGCTGGCCCTGACCACAGCACTCTTTAGGGATTGGCCAACGACGCCCCGAACGTACAAAGTTTCGTCCCGGCACAAGCTTGTCTCATTAACAGCCGTTCCGTACAGTTGTGTGCACACATGGCCTGGAGCACTCATATTCAAATTGCATTTTACATAACACATGGGCACTATAATTTTCCGAGCCACTGTTTACACCCACTCATTTTTTAGTGAATTTTTATATCCACCATAGGGTGTTATATACAGGGGATTACGGTAAAAAATCGGCAACTTGACGGGTTTCTCATTATCGCCTGTCCTAGCCTCCTCTAGCGCCTCGCCATCAACAGCAGCAGCATGCGCCCCTGCGTTGTCAGAGCCGAGGCAAGCGAAAGCCCTTGACTAGCTACAGTAACTACTGTACAGGTCATATTCCCTTATCAGCCGGGGGGCGACTCGGGGCATTTCGCGTACATGGAAAATGCTAGGGCAAACGGGACTATGGGGTGTCGCAAGATGTTTTTTGCTTGGATTTTTATGAACTGTTCATGGTCGGCAGTGTTGGCGTTTGTTGCAATCATGTGTCGCTCACCAGATCGCACGCGCGTCAACTCAGGGTTCATGGTAAAGTTTCAGATTCCTCACAACATTCAACGCGCTTTATCAAGAACAAGGAAAAGGCGTTTACATTTTAGAAATTTGCCAACGCGCAAATGGACGGGGTAGGCGAACATCGACGAGAGCGGTGACCAGTCCTGCTTGCGCCGCTAATTGTAATCAGCTGACGACACTGTACAAACATTACTCACACAATTTGTGGGGAAAACGTGGAGGAACATAAATGGCTGGTCTAGTGGTTGTTGGATTTTCCAAAAAGTGATGTGGATTCGGCTCCGAGCATTGGTTGACGATTCTGACACAAACAGCCAGTGTCAGATCGCCTGCCATTGAAATTCGTCGCACGAGCACAATGATTGGCTATCGCAGAATGTTGCCAATTGACTGTAATGAGTACTGTTCACATGACACGGGTACAATTTGCGTACAAGGAGTCGCCCTTAAGGAAAAAATGCATATAGAATACTCCCGGGTGTAAAAGGGGGTCGTCTACAAGGCATATGACCTGTAACTCTAATTCCTTCTGCCTTTCCCCTTCATCCAAAGCGCCGCTCCCCCTGCCCCCTTCACATCGCAAGAGTCCTCCCTGCACGTTCCCCCCCCACCTTGCGCACGCATAGCAGCAGAGACAGCTCTTCCCCAGTTCTTGCCCGCGCCACGCCACGCCGCACGTCGGACAGGGACTTGCTCAAATGGCACGAGAGAGTAGCAGAGGGCACAACAGTGAGAGTGCAGCAGAGGGCACAACAGAGAGAGAGTGCAGCAGAGGGAACAATAGTGAGAGAGTGCAACAGAGGGCACAACAATGAGAGATTGCAGCAGAGGGCACACCAGAGAAAGTGAGTGCAGCAAAGGGCACAACAATGAGAGAGTGCAGCAGAGGGCACAACAGAGAGAGAGTGCAGCAGAAAGTGAGTGTGGCAGGGAGAGTGAGCTGCAGAGTGAGTATGCAGCAGAGAGAGAGAGAGTGCAGCAGAGAGAGTGGAGGAGAGAGAGAGCGGGGGAGAGAGCAGGGAGATGGGAGGGGAGTGACTGAATATGGTCCTTACCAGATGGAGAAACGCCGTCAAAAGTGGACGGCGTGCAGAGAGAAGGGATGGCTGGTAGCGCGAGGGCAGCCAGAAAGGTGGGGTTCCCTCATCACAGCTCATCATTGTGCCACACCTTGGACCACCGAGCGCCAAGGGAGGGGCATCTTGCTCGAAGACTAGTGCTGAGGGAGCTGGAGGGGGGAGTCGGAAGAAGAGAGGGGATCAGGGAGGGGGAGCGATCAGTGTTGGCGTTGGAGAGGCAGCCACAATAAGGGGCACGGCGAGACATGAGGGAAGGGGCCTTTCGAGACAAGGGGAACCGCGAGAAGGGAGGGGAGGGGCCGTTCAGTCTGACATCAACGGGGGGAGAAGAGGGGAGGTGGCATGTGAGTGCGGCAGAGGGGCGGCGGAAAACGACCGTGGGAGAGGGGAGGCGGCATGTGACCATAGGAGAGGGGAGGCGGCATGCGACCGTAGGAGAGGGGAGGCGGCATGCGACCGTGGGAGAGAGGAGGCGGCATGCGACCGTGGGAGAGGGGAGGCGGTGTTACAAGGCGAAAGCGAACTCACCCGAAAGTTCGCCAACTCAGCGAACTGTAGATTTCGAGGTTGGGTTCGTCCAACCAAAATCGTGCGCCTTGAACTGAACAATTCCCCAACCCCAAATTTGTACAGCTGCCTGTGAGTCGCAGCACTACTCCAGAGCAGATTTTGAGAGCCAGCAAAGCATGGAAAGTGCCAGCACAAGCTAGAGATTAACTACTGCAGCTACTACAAGCGCCAGCAAAGACTACAATCGACATCTACAAGATGACGAAGACGCCAGCACTACATGGAAAATGAAAACTACTTGTATAGTTGATTTCTATGCTTGTTTAGCTATTTCCTAGGAGAGGCAAGGCTACTTGTAAATAATCATTAGCTTGCTTGCTTGTCTCCAGCTAGAATAGAAATGCCAAGGCGCCACGTGCGACCTTATCTAGGCGCCTTTAGAAGTACCAAGGTGCCAAGAGAGCTTTCCTAGTATAAGTGCGCTCTCTTCTATGTTTGAAGCTATCATATGATCCAGTGATTATGCTAGCACTCTTTCTTCAAGGATCCCTCAACCTCTACTCCTACTAACAGCCCCAGAGCTATTATATTTGGTCTCAGAGCCACGTTCCTGCATATTTTTTTTCTAGAACGTCATGAAGTCCGAGCAACCCCCTTTTCTTGACAATTGGGCGGTTTTCTAGAAAATTACCGCGCCCAAATCGTTTCTGAAGTTCGTGAGAGCTTGCGAGCTGAGTTGCAAGCTAGTATGGCTGCAGCCGGTGTGGTAGCAGCGAATCCTCCTCCTGCTACGCCTTCTGGAGATAGTCAGCGCACTAGACCGACGATTCCCGATTTATTCATCCCAGGCAAAAGTCAACCCGTTGTTAGTCGTTGGCTCTTCTTAGTGGAGCAGTACTTGACGCTGAGCCACGTTGCACCTTCCGAGTGGAGCGCCTTTGCTGGCACGTTACTCCACGGCTCCTCAGTTTCTTGGTGGCAAGCTGCACACACCTCCATCACCTTGTGGCAGCACTTCACGCAGGCGTTCACGGCCGCCTTCCAACCAGTGAATCCGAGCATCAAGGCGCGTGATCGACTTGCGGCTCTCAAGCAGCTGAAATCCATTCAAGAGTACGCTGCCAACTTCCGTGACATCGCCCAGGAAATCCCCGACCTCTCCGACGCTGAACGCATGGACCGCTTCAAGCATGGGTTGAAACAGAACGTGCGTATGGAGGTTGAGCTGAGGGATTGCACAACGCTTGAGGAAATGATCAGAGTCGCTGAACGGTATGACTCAATTCAATTTGCTTATAAAGCAAGGTTTCCTCGTGCCCTGTTGCTCCCTTTTGCTCCCTCCTATCAGCCCTCTGCTTCAACAGGCTACGCTCAGCAAGAACCTGCTTTGATGGACCTGGATGTGATGGAGAAGAAGCGGAATCATAACCCCTGCGTCGTCTGCTTCAAGTGCGGCAAGAAAGGTCACATCCGGCAATTCTGCCGCTGTCCTCCAAATCCAAAACCACTTCTTCCTACCCTTGGAAAAGGTGGTCACCAGTAAGTGCGGGGTGACTTTCTGGTGCAACCCCTATCCCCATGATTGCTTCCCTTGAAAACCCTTCTCCCTCTAAACTCCTTTGCCTCTCTATGACCATTCAAGGCCGAGTCGTTAAAGCCTTGATTGACAGTGGTGCCTCCTCTAATTTCATCTCTTCCTCACTTGTGTCTGAATTATCTCTCCCTCTCCAACCAGACATAAAGCCTCCGACAGTCTTACTTGCCGACAGGTCATCCCTCTCGTGTGGCCCCGTTCCTTACCCTGTCAACTGCACCATCGGATCTTACAAGGACAAGCTCTACTTTCAGCAAGCTCCCTTGAAAGGTCACGATGTCATTCTTGGGAGAAACTGGCTTTCTGGCAAGAACCCGTCCATTGACTGGACCCATGACCATGTCACCATCAAGCATAATGGCATAGACATCACCCTACCTCAATTCCCTTCTTCCCCTTCCTTACCTACCTGCAATCTTCTTCCTGCAAGGCAGATAAAGAAATCCCTTAAAGACCCGACTGCACAATTCTTCCTCTGCTATCTTCACCAATTTTTTCAAGCCTCATCTATCCCTCCATCTCCTCTTGTGTCTAATGACCCCCCTGAAATTCAGAAACTTCTTTCTGAATTTAAGGATGTCTTTCCCTCAGACCTCCCTCCAGGACTACCACCCAAATGAGCCGTTGACCACAGAATCTGCGTATAGCCTGGATCTGAGCCTACTGTGCGTGCTACATATCGGATGAGCACGGCGGAGTTGCAAGAAGTCCAGAAACAACTTGAGGAGCTCCTGGACAAAGGCTTCATCCGCGTAAGCTCATCGCCCTATGCAGCACCAACCCTCTTTGTCAAAAAGAAGGATGGCAGCATGCATGCATGTGCATCGACTACCGTGCGCTCAACAAAATTACCATCAAGAACCGCTACCCCCTTCCTCGCGTTGAGGAGCTTTTCGACCAGTTGGGTGAGGCCAATTTTTTCTCTAAGCTTGATCTTCGCGGCGGCTATCACCAGGTACGTGTCGTTGACGAAGACATTGAGAAAACAGCCTTCAGAACTCGGTATGGGCATTTCGAATTCCTTGTCCTTCCTTTGGACTGACAAATGCCCCTGCCACTTTCATGTGTATGATGAATGATATCTTCCGTGATTTCTTAGACCGATTTGTCATTGCCTTTATTGATGACATTTTGATCTATAGCAAATCATTGGGTGAGCATGTTCATCATATAAGACAGGTGCTGACTCCTCTGCGCTAGTACCGCCTTTTTGTTAAACAAAGCAAGTGTGAATTTGCTCGGTCCTTGATTCCTTTCTTTGGGCCATATTATCTCACACAATCAGTTGTCCATGGACCCTTCTAAGGTAAAATCAGTCCAATATTAGAAGCCTCCAACTTCCATCAAGGAACTGCAAGCCTTTCTTGGCCTCGCCAACTATTATCGAAAGTTCATTCAACACTTTGCTGCCATCACTTCCCCCCTCTCTAACCTACTGCGTAAGACAGAAGGATTCCACTGGGGACCAGATGAAGACAAAGCCTTTGAGGCCATCAAACAAGCCTTAACCTCGTCTACTTTAGCCCTTCCCAACCCTTCCCTTCCCTACACCATATGGACAGATGCCTCCAGTGTTGCAACGGGTGCAATCCTTTGTCAAGATCAGTGACATGGCCTTCAACCCCTTGCTTTCGACTCTCGAAAGCTCAAACCTGCTGAGTGCAACTATGCCACTCATGACCGTGAGATGTTGGCCATTGTCCATGCCATTAAAAAGTGGCGTTGCTACAGAATGTCCATATGCAACCCGTCACTGTCCTTACTGACCATTGCACCCTTCAACACTCCAAGACCCAACCTCACCTTACCCCGAAACAGGCTCGTTAGATGGAATACTTGGAACAGTATGTGCCTGACCTGAAGATTGAGTACCGTGCTGGTCACCTCAATCTTGCTGACTCGTTGACTCGACCTCCACCCTCTCAGCTTTCAGCCATTGGCACTGTGACTTGGGATGAGAAATTCATCAGCAATTTCACCATGGGATATCGGCGTGAATCATTTTACCTCTCCTCTGCCCCTACCCATAAGTCTGTCTACTATGAGTCCCCTTTCTGGTACAAGACAGACTCTCACACCATCTGTGTCCCAGCAAACCGAAAGCTGCGTCACCTCTTGCTTTGCGAGCATCATGACCAGAACACACACTTTGGAGTCGACAAGACGCTTGCGACCATCTCTGCCAATTTCTTCTGACCCAGGCTCTCTTGTGACGTTCGCTCCTGTGTGCGCTCCTGCCATATCTGTCAGTGTAATTCAAAAATACTACCGTGGGAGAGGGGAGGCGGCTGCGACCGTGGGAGAGGGGAGGCGGCTGCGACCGTGGGAGAGGGGAGGCGGCGTGCAACCGTGGGAGAGGGGAGGCGGCATGCGACTGTGGGAGAGGGGAGGCGGCGTGCGAATGTAGGAGAGGGGAGGCGGCATGTGAATGTAGGAGAGGGGAGGCGGCAAGCGACCGTGGGAGAGGAGAGGCGGCCTGCGACCGTGGTTTCGGGTGTGACGAGCAGAGAAATTTCGGATGAAACACAGCTAGATGAGTGGGAAATATCAGAGAGAGGAAAAACGCGGAGAAATAAAATGCGGATACACATCCCAAATTTCTCGCCCCCAAATAGCTGACGAAAAGGTGGGTTACCCACAGGTGACAGACCCTCTGCTGCCCCCAAGTTTCCCACATGAGTGACGCAAGTTACTTTGTTGTGGGGAAAAACTGTTACTGCTCCCAAAAAGTCCGCATCTTTTCGCGACAAAATGGAGCAACCAATCAAAACGGTTTCGCGACTGCTGTTTTGAAGTGGTGCTTCGGCCCGTGCCACGGCTTTCTTCAGCACCAATAGCAA